TTATNGAGTGATAGTTAGAACTCCAGAGGAATCTGAGAGGGGAATATCTCTGTTGGCTACCCATATAACAGTCCTATCAGATACTTTTCCAGATAGTTTCTTGTACCAAATTCCCACGTATCGGTTTCTTGATTTTCCAGGAGTGAAAAAACCAAGTTCAAAAGCTTGGCCTCGTGAAACAACTGTACTCTCACCATCTCTAATGGATTGGCCAGGGGTAATGGTGTCTACTGTAGTGTCGCTTGTTACTGTAGAAAACAGAAAAGAGAAAATAATTAGGATTGTGTAGCCACCTGCCATCTCAAGCTTTAGCTCTAATTCTGTATCTCTTAATCTTATCGCCTATGTTCTGCTGCCACCACCATAATTAAATCTTGGTAGGTCGGTAGCGTTAATGTCTACAGTAGAGTAAACGACATTGTCCCACCCAAGCTTGGCAAATCTACAAGTTCTCACTCCTGTTTCATAAATTACAGATTCTCACACCGTTACTTTTTCCTTCAAAATAATCTTTATATCTCAAATTTCTCTCAAATAACCCCCAAAAGATCCCAGCCAAGTCAAAAGTCTAGCCTAATTCCGACACCATTGGACCTTCCCGACACCACCATCAGCATCCCCTTATCCTCTTCACCAAAACCTCTAACTTTTCCACCCGATTGCACCTTGGTGAAGTACCGGAATTTGGTTGGAAAGGTGTGACAAAACAAGAAAACCTAACGGAGAGGTGGCGGCGATCGACAGGCAATTGCGGTTGGCAATGTTGGGGATTTTAATGGGGGGAAGCCAGTGATGCTATTGGTTGTGTTAAGGGCGGTTTCCAGTGCTAGAACCTGCCAAAATTTGGATGTGTCAAATTTGGATGAAACACCGACTAAAACTAAGAGCAGCGATAGGCGATTGGGGGGTTCAATCACTCGGGGAGGTTAGGGGTTCTGATGTGGGGGTTGAGGAGATTGTAATAGTACTATTGTGAGAGGTCGACTGCATCGGAAATAGGCTGGAATGGCCTGAAATCGCCGATGGGATGAATTTGAGAAGTCAAGGGTTATTTTAAAATTTTTATCTTTGAAATGAACACTTAACCTTTTTAACTGTTAGATTAAACAGTTTTTTTGTTAATTTAAAGGTAGGAATTGTAATTTATGAAATTAGGGGTAGAAACTGTGATTCACCAAACCTTGGGTGGGAAATGTCGTATACCCTATAACAGAATATCATTTTGGAAAGAATTTATTGAAAATGTCCCATTATTACTTGGATACACCAAATGCATCTTGTCACATGCTTGACTGGAAATTGTATAACACTTCAACAAACCACACTAATGACTTCTTGCTGAAGACCCTGCTTTACTCTTAACGACTTTGGAGAGTCTTTTTCTAAAATCACTACTTTATACAAACGACTTTGATGAAAAATGTGAAAGGGAAGGGGCAATATTCTGCGGCCTGCAGCAAAATTTTTGTCTGAGATTAATCATTAACTTTAATAGGATGATAATTAATATTACTTAATACATATATTATCAAAATTAGAAAATGTAACCATTCTAAATTAATTAAATATAGACTATCATAAGACATCACATAATTACAACATATATTATTTCATATAACACAACATAATACAGATTAAAACAAGAATATCACATTAATTATGCATTGCTGACAAATATGCAACACAAAAACCATCACATGCACTGTCACTGATGCCTATGTACCGCAACTCGCCACTGCAACACCTCCACGCGCCCAACAAAAGGGTTGCATGTGCTGCCACGCGCCTCTAAAGGAAGTCACGTGCTATCAAGCACCAAACACGTCTTCACATGCGTGCCCACACGCCCAGTCAAAATAAGGTCTAAATAAACCGTTTACCGGGTCGGGTTGACCCGTCATGACTCGCTAACCCGATTTGACTGTTGACCCATTCATTGACCAGGTTTGATTGGTTTAACTTTGTTCTTGACCGGATCAGGTTGACCCATTGGATCATTGACCAAGTTTGACCGGTTCGGGTTAACCCATTGGGCCGTTGACCATGTTTGACCAGGTCAAATTGACCCTGTTTGACCTTTGCCTTTGATCGGGTTAGATTGACCCGTTTTAGCCTCAATCGAGTCGATTTGACCCGCTTACCCAGTTTGACCAATTCTTCTTGACCTGGTTTCTACAACTTTTTAATCCATTTTCGATAGTTTTTAATAGCCCAATTCTAGCCAATTTTCCGGCATTTTAGAGCGGAAACTTGAATGTGGACATATGGCCTATGTCAACGGCATCCCATCCCAATCGGTGCCGTAAATGGCAGTCGAAATCAATCAAATTGTGATTTTTATCGAAACTTTAAACTAGCATAACTTTGCAATCACAACTCTGTTTTTGACAAATAATATATAATTGGAAAGCTCTTTCAATAAGGATTTCAATGATATCAAAGTAAAAAATAGACATGATTTATACAAAAAATTATGTCTTATTAAAGTTACAGATTTTAATATAAAAAGTCTCAATTTTATGCAATATATTCCAAATTTGCAACAAACAATTACATGTCAGGGGGAGATTAAAAGAAAGGCTCTAATACCACATGAAAGATCAATAATGGAAAAACACTCAGAACAACATGTATACATATTCATATCATATCTACTATATACATGTTCATACTTTCATTGAATTTGCAAAAGCGAAATAACTTTATCACTAACCTTCAGCTATAGCAATTTGTTGTTGCTGTCTTTTTCAAAAATTATAGATTCTAGCACTACAATTCTCAGAACGATGGTTTTGAGAATATCAAAATTAATTGTGTGTACTGGGGACCTGTAACTGTTCCCCTTTCAAAGTATACAGAAGTCTTTCCATCAAAGACAATTGTTGGGGATAATTGCTCATTTGCTAAGAAATTGTTCAGCAATTATGTATTATATAGAACTAATATATAAAAGTGAAGGACCAACTTGTAATTAATTAATTTTAATTAATTAAAATTCTAACATTTACTACCCAAATTTATATTCTGTTTCCAATTCCGGCATCGTTGCGACCCCACACCACTACCATTCTCTTCACTGATCATCACTCAGTAAAACCCCTCAAATCTTACTCCCGCTAGCCCCGTTAATCACCAGTAAATGAGCAATTAAGGTTTGCATAGCCGCCCCTTCCAAGTCAAATTCTAATCAACCATAACCATCAAAATCCAACTTTCCACTACTAAAAGACTCATTGGTCTCCTCTCTTCAAAAGCTCCAACAGTTTAGATCGAATTTGTTCTCTATTTATTGTAGAAATATAAATTAGGTTGTAAAATGGTATTTTAAAATCTTATAGGTGGGAAAATGCCGATAAGCTGTTATTTGGGTAAGAAAAATCGTTAACTCTTATAAGAATGAACAAATATCTTGATAACTATACTACAAGGCAGCTCTTCCTTTTATTTTCTTTCATTTTCCTAGAAAGAGCCAAATGGGGTACCAAACCCAACTCATTGTAGACAAACTTAATAATATAAATTACTTGAAAAACTTCTCATCTTTTCTACCATATCTTTTACTTTTGGACTTGAGAGGATACGTTTGTATTTACTCTTTAAGTTAATTCTAGAAATTACACTATCACATCAAAGGTGGAAGGAGATCATGTCATACCCATGTATCTCTCCGAGGATTTGATTGTGATAGATTTTCTAAAAATAAAGTTGATTATGAAGATGGAACTATACCTAACATCCACGTGAGTCAATGACAAAAGAGTTTTTTACATATTAGTATTGAACAATAGTGTAATTTGAGCGTAAGAGAGTCAACAAAGGAGAAACCCCCACCCACCTACTTAAATTAAAAAATGTTGTTAGTTTTAATAATGGATCATTACTTAAATTAAAAAATGTTGTTAGTTTTAATAATGGATCATTACTTTAATTAAAAAATGTTGTTAGTTTTACTTTAAATTAAAAAATGTTGTTAGTTTTAATAATGGATCGTTACTTAGGTGGGCTTACATGCCCAAAATTACGTACCCAACAAGGCACCAGTCTTAGTCCGATAAGGCAATAACACCAATAGGACAAACTTCTATGCCCAAAATCACGTACCCAACAAGGCGCCAATCTTAGTCCGATAAGGCAATAACACCAATAGGACAAACTTCTATGCCCAAAATCACGTACCCAACAAGGCGCCAGTCTTAGTCCAATAAGGCAATAACACCAATAGGACAAACACTCCATAAGAATTAAAGATAATTTTTCACTTATTAAATTTGTCTCACAACTCAACCTTATAAATTTTATCTCAAAACTCGATGTGATAGAATTGATTAATTCGCAATTGGATATGTAAGACCTATAACAAGCATGTGAGATCTATTTACGAGCTGTCACATCGAGATTGTGAGATAAAGTTTGTGAGATTAAGTTACCTTTTTTACTTGGAAAATATCTTCATTGTTCAGTGTGGTATACTAAAAATTATTATAGTCTGGGTAGCATATGTCCAAAAGAGTAATGTTACACGCACAATCTCTTCTCACAAACTTTCTCTCACAATCTCGATATGACAATTCGCAATTGATCAACTATAATTTATCAAGTGGGACCTAGATGAGACTTATTATTAGTTGATCAATTATAAAATATTATGTCAGGATTGTGAAAGGAAGATTGTGAGAAGAAGTTGCACGTATAGCATTTTCCACATCCAAAATTGATTGAACAATAAAATGAGTTGACAAAAGACCAATACAGTTTTTCAAATGGGCCCCGGTCCATGATCAATGCTTGTAGCCCAAAACCCTTTACAGTGTTGGCTTGGGCTTGTCAACATAACTGCATCTTTAGTGCTTGAACATTACTACGACACCGTTTGAGAGAAAAAGAAAACGGCATCCCTATTCCTTGGTATATTAAATCTTAGATTCTTAATCAATGTACTGTTATATATCTTTTAATTTTCTTTCCTTGACGAGGTTGATAATTAAAATGCTTGTTGAAAGGCGGCTTGGTCACTGGATCTGGGAAGAGTGTCTCTGGGATTTGGAATTGCAATCATTTCTTATGCGGTATTAAATAAAATTTTCATTGTATAGTAATTAATTTATATGGTTGATGCATAACAGCACTTGCATTCATGTTACAAGGCAGGGGCCTATATATATTGCGGAAATTACACCAAACAATATTCGAGGAGCATTAGCATCGGCTAATCAGGTAAAATTAATTTAACTATTGCAGAATGTGTTCCATAAGTCCAACTCATTGTACTTCTTAATAAATATTCTGTGATGCATACAGCTGATGCTTACTTGTGGCTTCTCCCTAACATATGTCCTTGGAACTCTTGTATCCTGGCGCATCTTGGCTCTAATTGGTAATATATTCTTTTACTTATAGATTATAGGTATTTCCAATTGAGAATAATGTGTGTTCTATATTGTCAAAATTTCAGCCGTTGTTCCATGCTTTGTGCAATTGTTTGGTATATTCTTCATTCCTGAATCCCCTAGATGGCTGGTGAGTCCTATTCCTACTTTTTCCAAACCAAGCATAAAATGCTTTTTTAATCAATGAAATATCCTGCAGGCAATTATTGGTCGAGAGAATGAATTATACACCACTCTGCAGCGGCTTAGGAGTAAGAAATCTGATATTTCTCAAGAGGCCGCTAACATAAAAGTGAAGTTTCCACTTTCGTATATTGAAATTCAATTAAATTTTCTCCTCCTGAAGTTTTAATATATTTTGTGCATAAATTTTGGTTTAGATACATATGTTCTTCTATTGTTTGAGCAGGCTTATACAGAGGTCTTTGAGAGGCAATCAGAGGATAGATTTTTTAGCCTTTTCCAGCATAAATATGCCTATTCAGTCACTGTGAGTATACAAAACAGAAAATGAATAAAGATAATGAATTTGTACATGGTAAATTTGATTTTTGCGACTGTCTGGCTTGTCTAAGAATTTTTTTATTTGTTCAGGTTGGAATTGGTCTTATGATACTGCAGGAATTTGGACGGGAGACTGCAATTGGATCTTATGTGAACTCAATTTTTGAAGCTGCAAGTGAGTTTAGCAGCAGCCTATACTGTTGCTTCATTTTTTTTTTTTTTCCTTGATAAAGTTTAAAGAACAAGGAGACAAGGATATGAATAATTTTTCTATTACAGGCTTTCCAAGTACACTTGGGTCAATCTCAGTGGCTATGATTCAGGTACCTGATTCCTATAGATTGTATGTGAATGTAGGAGTTTGCCTTCTGTATATTCATATAACCATTGAAATCTTTTGCAGATTCCTACAGTTGCTCTATCTGTAATCCTAATCGATAAATGCGGAAGAAGACCACTTCTTATGGTTAGAATTTAAAGAAAATTCAGATTAAGTTACTCATTAGGTAGTCATCAACCAAATCAGTCCATGGTGAAGTTTCTGATTTTGTGCAGGTTTCCAGCATTGGAATGTGCTTAAGTTCGCTCCTTGTTGGATTATCCTTCTACTTTCAGGTTTCTAATGAAACTGAAATTAGGTATTTGGTATTGTTTCTCATTTAATATAAAAAATTGATAAACAATCTTTATTTGGAACAGGACCATGGCTATTCGGATGAGATCACTCCAATTTTGGTTTACATTGGCATATTGGTAATAATGTCTACCTGAAAGACTATTTTACAGTTCGAGTTTTGTACTCTAGTTGTTCTGTCCAATTCAAAGAATAGATTAAACAGCTAATATGAGCTGATTGATGCGTAAACTGCGATCAGGGATATACTGCAACTTATCCAATAGGCATGGCAGGGTTACCAACAGTAATAATGTCCGAGGTATAAAACTCGTTCACGTTTGATTCCACATTCCTTTTTTGTTTTTCAGGAAAATATTGACTAGATTGTAGCAAGAAAAGATGGTTTATATGTTAGACTAAGCTACTAATCTTCATTTTCAGATATTCCCAACAAATGTGAAAGGCTCTGCCGGAAGCCTTCTGGTTTTTACTAGCGCGGCATGTGGTTTGATTGTTTCGTACTCTTTCAATTTTATGATGGAATGGAGCTCAGCAGGTATAGCTTTCAATAAAAACCCTTGTTATATCTCATTCACTCATAACATTTTCATGAGTTATGAATGCACTCTTTAATACATTATGTTTTGTCCAACAATTACACAGGAACATTTTTCATATTCTCAGGCGTATGCGGTTTAACAATCCTATTTGTTGCAAAGATAGTTCCAGAGACTAAGGGACGAACACTTGAAGAAATACAAGCTTCCATGTCCCAATTTAACCAATAACAGAATTCTATACATCTAGTTGATTTATTGGAGAAACAATTACAATTAACAAAGGTTTGATTCAATTTTCTTCTATGTTGGTAGGAACATAGCATTTATCTTTTATATAAATTATAGAACTTAGCTTAATCATGTAAATGACAGTTTTTTGCCTTTTCCATCAGCTCAGGAAATCTGAACCTCTTATTATTCTAAAGTTTTTGCAGCAAATGATACATTCCATTTCTTTTCTTTATAATAATTTCACCCTACTCATGTGGGAAAATATGTAAGGGATGCTTGAATTTCTTCTAGTGTCTCCGGTACCAAAAATGCAAAAATAGGACAGCTGAAGCACATATACCAGCCAATATGAAAAATGTACCAGCACATGGGAGTAGCCAATACATAAATATTTGCGTGTGAGTATAAAAGGAGAGCAACACAGAGAAGATGAGCAGCAAGGGTAGGGCGGCAAGGGTATTTAGTTACCAGATGATTCCATTGCATCATAAAATTGAAACTGTAAGTAGAAAGAATAGCGCATAACCAACAAACTAATATCATAAGGTTCCTGTTGAACCCTTAATGTTTCCAAGTGTTGATGCTTGATTTTGGACACCAACGACTCGCACGTGCTAAGTGCTAAGAGAGTCTTAGAAATTACACGTGATGAATCCATGAGATTTGAATATGGAGCTGAGATTATATATGTTGTAGAAACATAAATAATAGACTGACAAGAGAGGTTTTTATAGTGGTTCAGATGCTTAAAGCAAATCCTACATCCACTGTTATTTTATTGTTCTTTGACTATTTCTATGATATTGCACGTAAGACATACAAAGATGAAGAAATATTTTGCTTACAGAGAGAAATAATGAAGCTCAAATCTATGTCTAACTCTCATATGCCCAACCTCTCCTTTTCGTAAGAGAAGTGTCAATTTGTACACCTCTAAGGTCAATGTAATAAGTGCTTTGTAAGTTGCCTTGACACATAGAAAGCTCTCATTCGTTCTTCTCTTAAAATGAGATAGGGTTGGTATAAGATATCTTTGAGGCGATATGGGCTTGACAGGAAGTACAATTTGTCTTTTAGGCACTTATTGAGCTGACATCAACGTGACTTTTTAGGCATAACAGAACCCCCCCAGTTTTTGGAGTGCGTAATCGCATTTCAAAAACTTAGGTCTTTGATCTGAATGGTTGTCGCATTGTAGGCTGCAGTCTCGAAGTGAAGAGCTCAAACTATGCTTGGCACGATCGGATGTTGAGAGCTAAGACTGCGATCTGAAAGCTTGGAGCGATCTGAAGCTAAGCGCGATCTGGTAACTGACATGAAATGTCCAATAAATGAATTCCTAGAGGGAGCTAGCATCAGAAGCCCAAAAGCACAAATTAGAGGCCTTAAACGGATAAGCCAACTTAAAACAGCCATAACTTTTGATCAGGAGGAGTTTTGGAGCCCATAAGATATCCACGAAAAGCTTGTTCCGAGCTTTACATCATGGCAATAGGGGAACCCGATTGGGGCCATTTTCAAGGCCAAAATCCACTGTTTCGCCATGTTTCGAGGTTGTTTTGAGTTTTCTACATGTTTCTTCTGACGCGGGCAGCTGGTCGCAATCTGAGAGTTGAGAACACGACCTAAAGCTGTTCACAACGTCAGACCTAAGAGCTGATCGCGATCTAAGAGCTAGGAGCTCAACCTGAGAGTCTAAGGCATGCGATCTGAACGATCTGATGCACACGATCTCAAGTAAACGAGCAAGCTTATGAGCTCAATCTGAGGGCATAAAGAGCTGGATCAGAGAGTATAAGGAGCTTGATTTGAGAACTCGATAGCTCTTTACGATCTAAGAGCTTGAGAGCTCTTTGCGATCAAAGAGTTTAAGGAGTTCAATCACAAAACAGGAGTTCGATCAGAAAGCGCAAAGCTTGATTTGAGAACAAGAGATTAGCGATCTAAGTGCTCGAAAGCGCGATCTGGCCGCTCAGAAGGGCGATCTAGATTATCTAAACGCATGATCTCAACGATCTTGAACGCGCGATCCCGATGATCTGAACGTGCAATCTGTGATCTGGCCACGTGATTCGGGCGATCTAAACGCATGATTTGAACGATCTTGGACAGGCGATCCCGGTGATCTAAGCGTGTGATTTGCGATCTGGCCACGCAATCCAAGCGATCTCAACAAGTGATCTCAACGATCTTGAACGCGCGATCCAGATGATCTAGGTGTGCAATATGTGATTTGGTCATGCGATCCGGGCGATCTGAACGCGTGATCTCAATGATCTTGAATGCACGATCCCGATGATTTAAGCGTGCGATCTACGATCTGGCCAAGTGATCTAGGCTATTTGAAAGCGTGATCTCAATGATTTTGAACGCACGATCCCGATGATCTGAACGTGCGATCTGCTATCTGGCCACGCGATCTGGGCGATTTGAATGCGTGATCTCAACAATCTTGAACGTGCGATCCCGATGATCTGAGTGTGAGATCTACGATCTGGCCACGTAATCCAGGCGATCTAAACGCGTGATCTCAACAATCTTGAACGCGCGATCCCAATGATCTGAGCGTGCGATCTGGCCACGTGATCTACAAACTCTTACGTGTGCGATATGCGATTTGGCCACGTGATCGGAAAACTTTGACTCGTGCAATCTGTGATCTGGCCACGTGATCAGAGAACTCTGACGCGTACGATCTGCGATCTAGCCACACCATCAGGGAACTTGGACGCAGGTTTGAGACCAGCATGGGCCACCAAACTGTTGATGCTTGATTTTGGACACAACGACTCGCACGTGCAAAGTGCTAAGAGAGTCTTAGAAATTACACGTGATGAATCCATGAGATTTGAACATGGAGTTGAGATTATATATGTTGCAGAAACATAAATAATAAACTGACAAGAGAGGTTTTTATAATGGTTCGGATACTTAAAGCAAATCCTACGTCCACTATTATTTTATTGTTCTTTGACTATTTCTATGATATTGCATGCAAGACATACAAAGATGAAGAAATACTTTGCTTACAGAGAGAAATAATGAAGCTCAAATCTATATCTAACTCTCATATGCCCAACCTCTCCTTTTCATGAAGAGAAGTGTCAATTTATACACCTCTAAGATCAATGTAATGAGTGTTTTGTAAGTTGTCTTGACACATGGAAAACTCTCATCCGTTCTTCTCTTAAAATGAGATGAGGCTAGTATAAGATATCTTTGAGGTGGTATGCGGCTTGACAGGAAGTACAATTGTCTTTTAGGCACTTATTGAGCTTACATCAGTGTGACTTTTTAGGCATAACAATAGGAAATATCTTGAATGTAGTTCATTAACTTATTGACCGGTTCCTGTCAATAAATTTTTGAAAATATGTAGAGCGCGCTAAATGCAGTCAGATACCTCAGATATTATGACAGTTGGTATCACTACCAAGCCTAGTTAAAGCCCTGAGTGCAGAATGTAGAATGTATTAGTCATATTTTGGTCAACTAATATGAGATTCAAGGGAAAGGAGAAAGCGGAAGTATAAAATTTAGATTGCCATGCTGCTGATCATTAGGAAAATTTCATGGTTATAGTGCCAAATAGTCTTTATTGCAAAACATCTGAAATAAACTCATCATGCCAATGTTCACCAGTACAGCAGTGACCTTTTCGAAAGGGTGAATATCCTACACACACAAGATTTTTAAACATTATTATTTCATTTAAGATATGTCAGAGAGAATTGTGAACATAATAGATAGAAGTGTCTAAAACCTGCAAGCAGAATGCCAATGCTGTTATGATAAAACTTAACCACATTCACCAATAGTAGAAGCCTGCAATCATAAAATATCTTCACCATAAACTTCTTTTCGAACTGAATCACCAAGTTACGATGAATCGTTTTTCAATTTTACCATGAGAAGTGGACGTCTTCCAGATTTATCTATCAGTAGTGCAGATACTCCGGATTCCCGGAACATTTGTGGATCTGCAAAACACTTTCACATGCCTGAGCATTGGAATATGGAAATTAGAAGAATCCCACGTGTTTGAGAGTCAAGTACCGGAATTATAGCCATTGATACAGTCCCTAAGTTGCTTGAGAAATCTGTTGCAAATAAAAGTAGGGGTGAGGGTTCCGAGTACCCTGCATTTTTTGGGGGAACCGAAACCGTATAGTATAGGTTCTTAAATTCAAAGAACCAGAACCTAAAATGCAGGTTCCGATTCCCTTCCCGGGTACCTTATAAAAAATCAATTACCCTCATATTAGTTTAAAAAATGACAAAAATACCTTAAAAGTTTATAAATACACCCCAAACAAATTTTGATTACTCATTCATTTGTGTCCAATGTAACTCATAAATCCTTTAATCTCTAGGCCACACTTGAATTCAATCAATTTATCACAATTCACATAAAATTCCTCAATCAAAACCAAAACACAAACAATTATTCATCACAATTCACATTAAATAACTTTACCAAAATCATTCAAACAAACAACAATATAGAAAGTTAGAAACTGGCACCAACTTCTTTGATTCTCCCACTACTCAATACTAATGTAGTTAATTTAATGTTATAAATTATTAATGTTTATAATGTAATAATGTAATATTGTAATATTGTAATTAATTAAGTAATTATTTAATTATAATGCAATATTATAATTAATTAAGTAATCATACTGTACATTTATAAATTATAATATAATGTTATAATTAATTAAGTAATCATACTATAAATTTATAATGTAATGTTAAAATTAATTATATTTTTTAACCATTTAATTAAGTAATGTACTAATGACTAATATAGTAAATTAATAAGGTTTATAATGTAATGTTATAATTAATTAAGTAATTATTTAACAATAATGTAATGTTATAATCAATTAAATTTCTAATCATTTAATTCATTACTAACGTTTAATGTTTATAATATAATATCATAATTAATTAAGTAATCATTTAATTATGTAATGTTATAATTAATTAAATGATCATATTACAATGTAAATTGTAATGTTATAATTAAGTAAGTAATATACTATTTAACTATAATTTAATATTATAATTAATTAAATTTCTAATCATTTAATTAACTATTGTACTATGGGTTGATTTTGTTCTAAGAATGTTTCTTTAAATTTTAATCTTATTGTACCATCTGGTTCTTGTGTAATTTGTTGTATTTCAGAATCATTTTGATCATGTAAAGGTTTTGGAGGGCATAATTTTT